ACGCGTACGGGTCATCTCAGACCCCAACCAAACATGCATACAAATCCAAAAACATCATATGAACCTACTGGGATCGTAAAACACTGATCCGTGGTCATTTACCCAAAATATTGACTGTGGTCAACTCTAGCCTCATTCTTAGCCAAAATTTTTATTTTCTTCGGAATTTTACTTAAAAGCTTTTCGAAAAGTGATACGTACCACACACGCAAATCAAAATATATTAAATGGAGCTAATAGAGGTCTTAGAACATGAAAATAGAGGCTAGTACTCAAAACGACCTATCGGGTCATCACATTGACCTCCTATAATATTTTTAAACTATTCTCCAAAAACATTTTCAAACCATTTTTAAAAAATATTTTTCAAAATAATTTCAAAGAATTTCCAAAAAACATTTTCTGAAAAATAATTTTCTATAAACATTTTCAAACTATGTCATATTTAAATTATTTTTACTTGTATATTATTTCACTAACAATTTTACTTCTCTTATCTTGCGAGGTACTATCACACTGATTCATTTTCGAAAGACGACACTCGAGAAAATCAAAGATAAAACCTCGTCAAAATCCCGCTTCGTACTTCCCGTTCTCGGATGTACTAAAAATACAAGCATAGTAGAATCGTGGATAGATAACAAATATAATATTTATTTATGCTTGTTTGATGTTTATTTACATATAACAACACTTAGGACAAAATGCATCTAGTTAAATAATAAATACTCAATATGTGTGTGAAATAAGTGTGTAGCTTGCATCTATAATAAGATTATTGGGTACGCTTTTGTAGCGTGCTTAATTGACTAGGATTGACACGAACTTAATTAATTAAAATAGTTTTCACTATATAAGCATGATTTTTTTTTTCTAATCAGATAATTATATATTTTCTCACATGTGTGCTATTATACTTAGTTGTACTGTCAGGTCACTTTATTTGTGAATTACTTATTTTAACCACCTCACTTTAAATAAATACATGTTTGTACAAATCCATGATAATTGACCCTTTTTATGAATAACACTTAACGTGATTAGTTTATATATAATTTTGCACAATTATTTGTCTTCGTGTGAAATTCTCTCAAAGTCCAGAATATTTTATCACATTGTATATCCATTATGTTTATGTGAATATAATTCAATTATTTCTTAACATGTTCTTTGTTTGCCATGCACTTGTTAAAGATTCTTTTATCATTCTTTTCAAGACTACTTCAAACAAATATTCTTTCACATATTCCATTTTAAAGTTGTTAATCACAAGTCAACTCTCATAGGCTTACTTTTGATTCAAACCCCCATCAAAATATTTTAGTTTGTCAAAATATAACCTTTTGTACTTTATTAATTAAATGTATACCTTCCTCACAGCTTCCACCTTTCTCAAATATTTTCTCTACTTTCTTGTGCATACTCAATTACATATTTTATTTCAAGTTTCATGCTTTACTGAGAATAAATATCATTTTTGTGAACCTTCCCTCATTTATTTGATTAAGTCCGCTGGAACCATATCTTATGGATCTTGAGGGATGTCTAACACCTTGCTTTAGAGATAATTTGCACCCTTACCAAGAATCTTAATGGTTTCGCAGATCATAACTTGTGGATATTGAGGGATGTCTAACAGCTTCCTCTAGAGATAATTTGAACCGTAAACTAGAATCTCAATGGTTTCGCAGATCATAATCAAAGTGTACATTTATAGTATAGTATAGGTGTCCTAGTGTACCTTGAATACTAGGTGGCAACTCTAAACTGCAAATAATCCTGTAGAGTACTATAAGTTGTATGTTGTTTTTACTTGTGCAAAATAGGGTGAAACAGTCCATATTACATAAAAAACATATACCAGAATACATGTATACGAACAGTGGATATTAAATTACATACTCATGGACTGATAAAGAGTTACATGCTAAGGTATATGTATGTGCGAAGTGTGCTACCACAACTCAGATTAGGCGGATATGCCACAAAATAGCAATTATTATGTTTGAATAGGAAATTAACCTATACATGATCTCTAGCATGATTCAAGAAGCTCATGAAAGGGTACAGACATATGAAACACCATAGCAAGAAGCATAGTATCCAATACAAGGCATAACACAACCTAATGACTACCTTGAACATGGATAAAATATGGTGCACATACATATGCTCATCCCCCTGCATGTGCGTCACCCTCGACATGTAGCCATCATCAACAATTCAAGCAACTAGTGCTTCAAACCAAGGCTAGGCAAGACTTACCTCAAACAAGGCAAATCAATACTCCAAAAATGCCTTCCCTCGCAAAACAGTCTTCAAACGACTCGAATCTAGCCAAAAACAACTCAATAGCATCAAAAAAGCTATAGGAATCAATTGCAAACAATAAGCTTCAATCTTTATTCAATTCCCAAAAAGTCAACAAAAGTCAACCTAGGCCCACATGGTCAAAACCTGAGTCAAGGGGTAGATCCCCACTACTCATAACCCCACGAGTCCAAATATGTGATTAAATTCTAGAACCAAGTCCAAATTGACCTTCAAATTCTCAATTTTACTCCCTCAAGTTATAGGAAACCCCCCAAATTTTCCTCAAATTTTTATGTTTTTAGGTGTAGAAATCCATGTACATTCTTGAAATAATACTAAAATTGTGTAGAAATCACTTACCCCAAAGCCTTGTATAAGAATCTCCAAGCCAAAATCGATTCTCCCACGTCTAGGGTTCAAAAATATGAAAGAATGGCTAAAATTCCAAAATTTATCACTTAAAAGCACTGCACAAGGATACCCTTCGTGAATGCAACACGTGCCTCGTGTTTGCGAAGTACAACTGCTTCTACCCCAGAAATACCCACTACATTCCTTCCTTGTGAACACGATGCACAAATTCTGCCTCCCTACGCGAGGTGACGAGCGTATATGCATGCACCAAGCTTATACCATGTTTGGGGGTAGAATTTAGGCTTCTTCATGCCTTGTTTGATTTATGATCTCTTGTAACATATTCTTTTATTCGTATGACTACTTGAGCTTTCTTATTCATGTTAGAGATCATGTATAGGTTTTTTATATTTTATCTGAACATGACGGCTATTCGCATGTTAGATTACACATTATAGCTGTAGTCATACATTGTATATGTACATATACCCCTGCATGTTTATCTCTCTTGTTCATATGCACATATAGATACTATTATCTCGTGCTTATATGCTTACATTCTTGCATATGGTAATTTTATATTGAGTGAGTTGTGGCATGTGAGTTATCTGTGCGAGTTGAGACAATTTTGGGACGTAAATTGTTCGTGCAAGTTGAGATGATCATGGCACGCGATTTGTCCGTACGTTGGGTGTGCTGGTCACGTTCATATTTTACGTGTGGATCCAATATTTCTCTTTTGGTGGCATAATGCGGTTCGACACTAGGGGTATCAGGTCACTGGGAGTGTCGATTGTTGTAAAGTTCTAGTCTTAATCATGCATAGAAATTCTAGACTCATATAGGAGTATTCATGCATATTCATGCATTTTACATATGTATGAGACTTGTTAATAGGTAGTTGGACATTTGGAGGATATTGGATTGATGTAAGGTTTGCGCTTTTATCATGCATAGATATTCTAGACTCGTGTAGAAGCATTCACATTAATGCTATTTGTTGTATATCTCCTTTACATGCGAATTTTGTACATTTATATATATTTTTGACCTTGTTATTTACCCCAAAAAAGCATACTTAACATCTCCGTCTTTGACTGTGCACCTTATTATTGATATCCGCTATTTCTTGGGTGTTTTTCTGTTATTGTATATACTTATGAACTGTACATATTATGTAAAGTGAGTATCTTTTCACTAAAACCCCATCATTATTTTCGTTGAGATTGGTCTTGATACTTTTTGAGTACATGACGTCACTTGTACTCACATTACACTTCTACATGTTGTGTGCAGATTTTGGAGCTGAGTTGCTGTAGACTTTGAGAGCGAGCATTGCAGATATATCAGAGTTCCAGTTAATAGCTGTTGTTTAATCATGGTAGCCTGGGATCTTGTATTTCTATTTATGTATATTGAAATAAATGGTATAATTTCTCAGATCAACATTGTATTTCTGTCCTTAGTTGCTTATGATTTGTGACATCAATTCCTAGGGTATTTTGTATTAATTTCATGTTCTTATTTCATTAAATTGTGAATTGTGTTTGATGTTAGTTCATTCACCTGCCGGATTAGATTAGGTGCCATCACGATATGGTGGGATTTGGATACGGGTCATAGTCGGGGTCTAGGTCTTGGTCGCAGTCAGGTGTCGAGGTCGTATCGGGTGTTGGAGGTCGAGTTAGGGTTCGATGGTCGGGGATGAGGGTCGGAAGGGGGTCGAGGGCTAGGCCTGTTAGTGGGGGGTCAGGGTCGGGTTGAGGGTAAGGGTGAGAGTTATAGGCTAAGGTCATCTTAGGGGTCAAGGATCGAGGTCGGGTCGATGTGGTTGTGAGTGGAGTCGGGGTTAGATTTTCAATCGAGGTGGGTAGGATCGAGGTTAGCGGTGGTTGTCGGGGTGGTTAGGGTTATGTGAGTGTTGGGTGGTGGGAGTGAGGAGTTGGCTCGATCGGGAGGTGGAGGTGGCTGGGGTTAGTCTGGGTTGTGCGCATGGCAAAGTAAGTGGGGTGAGGGATGCAGGTTTGAGGACATTTGAAGATAAGGTTGGAGAGCTTCAGAAAATATATTCCCTACTTTTATTAGGGAAATCATTTTCCTCTAATTAAGATGAGTTTTTAAGGAAAATATTTTTTAACGCATTCAAGCCAAACAAACATGAAAAAACAGAAAAATATTTTTTGATAACACACCCTAAATTTGCAAATAATAGTGCCAAAAAACAAAGAAGAAGAAAAAAGCTACTATTATAGAATAAAAACCTGTGGAAAATGCTCCAACTGCACTATTTAAAACATGAGTGAGTGTCTGCAAGGACACGAGTTAGGCACATGTGCCGTCTCAATCACTTAAATACGCTCTTTGTACCCATCTTTCCTTTTTCTGTTATCTCTTTCCTTTTCTCCATATTATTACTGAACCAGAAGCTTACTATCTATTTTCAACCTTTTCTTCTCTGAAAATTCAGAGACACAGAGCAGAGGTAAAAGAAATGGCTGCTGACGGGAGTAGTGAAAGAGCAGTGAGTCGAAAAGTGCTTCAGATCTCCGCTGGTGCTAGTCATTCCGTTGCTCTTCTATGTACGTTTAACATTTGCCCACACCTTTTCTTCTTCTTCTTCTCTTCTTCTTGTACTAATACTACTACTACTACTACTACTTTCTCTTTCTGCTTATAGATCATGAATTTAATGTAAAGGAAAGGGAATAAGACGACCTACTGTATCTTATATAACATATAAGAGGCCTGATTAATGTGAAGTAGGTCTGTGGAAACATGTATGTGTATGTGTTTCTGCAGATGCAATGTGAAAACGCAGACAAAGATGGGAAGAAAGAGGCTTTTTAGGGGGTAGGGGAGGGGAGGGGGTAAAGGGGTTAAGGCGTTGTTAGAATTTGCATGGACAAAAATGCTCCACGTTGCCATGGGTAAAATGGTAATCTGGTCTCCCACCTTTATCACATCTCTTATGGCCCTTCATTTGATGTATGTACAAGTACAACAATTTCTGTTAGTTTCCCCAGCCAAAGCGTCCTGGAACTACATATTAAAGACGTTGATCTTTATTCATTTGTAATTTGTAAATAAAAAAAGGTTATCTTTTTAGCTTTATGTAATTTCTAAAGTAAAAGGCTGTAAGAATTTGTAAGATTAGATGAATCAATATATTGGGAAGACAGTTAAAGTTCTATTGGTGATATTTTTATTTTTGCTTATATCTTGAAAGTAAAATATCCTCATTAAATTCCTTTGATGCTTAGGGGGTGATAAATGGACCGGCAAAAGAGAAAATAAAGAAGTGTTAGTAAATGTTTTCTTCTGAGATACAAAAAGAAGTACTTGTCCAAGATAACTACATCGCTTAAATGGAATAGATTGAATATCTTATTTTTAAAACATCAAAGGAATCAGACTATCCGAAATCCTACTTCTGGGAGTTACTTTTTCTTTTTCTTATTCAGTTTTTCTCTCGAATCTCTTGCCCTACTTGCTGGTCACATGAATGTTTTATCCTTTATGATGGAAACAAACATTTACATTTGAATGGTGACATTTACTGTTATGCTTAGACGGTAGTACAAGTTACTGGATGGGCGTCAGGTGCTTCATAAACTGAACCTGCTAAGGTGGATTAATGAAAGGTTCTCGGAATAACATCCACCCAAGTATAAGTGATTTCTTTCTAAAGTTGCACTCTTTGGAGTCGTTTGGTACATAGGATAAGGATAAGTTTTTATTAACTTTATCCTATGTTTGGTTTGAGGTATTAGCTAATCTGGGAATAACTTTTACACTGAAATGGTAGGAGTAGTTATCCTATATAGAAGGTAGGATTACTAATCCCATGAGATATCCCACCCTATGGGAATCCCACCATTGTACCAAACATCCCCTTTGATTTCTTTTAGCATTTGGCCCAGTATGAGATTTAGAAGCTTTTGATTGGACACTTTGGTCCCATTTAATTTTTGTCTTTCCCAATTGAGTGCCAAGTTAGTTGTCCCGAAGAAGTTTTATCAAAAATTGGCCGGAATGGCTCACACGCGCCGGAAAAGTTATTGTAGCTCGCCAGAACACTAGTTCTGGCAGCGCGTGACTTTCTGTCGGAGCGATTAACTGAGGTTTTCACCTGACTTTTTCGAAAAAGATGTAGTGTTGGTTTTCGCACAACATTTACTGATGAGGAGATAACACAAATCAATCTTGAGTCGTAAATCGGAAAGACGTACGGTGACTCACTTTTCTGTTCAGACGGGGCTGGAATTTCTGGGGTTTGGTCGCACAAGGGTTTCGAATCTGATGGTGGTACTGGTATATGCGTAGTACCACTGAAGCAGTGATGAACCCTGGAACAAGACCAAGTTGTTGAAAAATTGCACAGCGATGAGATTTTTCTTTTCGGATGTCGCTAGAATGATGCACAACGATAATTTTCTCACTGAAGTTTTGATACCATGTGAGAATGCACGGTACATGGAGTGACTTCAGCTTACCTAGAACATGGCCCTTGATAGGAGAGTATAGAGGCCGAACATGGCGTGATTTCGTTATTTTGTTAGTTTCGTTGATAATTACTCAAGATGTACTTGGATTTTCCTAATGAATGATCATTTTGAGTTGTTCTCTATATTCTAGAATTTTTGTGCTGAAACTAAAAATCAGTTTGGTGTTTCTATTCGCAGTTTTCATAGTAATAATGCTTTAGAATACTTATCTTCTCAGTTTCAACAGTTTATGACCTCTCAAGGAATTATCCATCAAATATCTTGTCTGTATATCCTTAGCAGAATGGGGTAGCAGAGAGAGAGAATAGGCCTCTCATTGAAACTACTCGCACACTTCTCATTCAGTCCCATATTTCACTGCGTTTTTGGGGCGATGCAGTTCTTACAGCTTGTTACTTGATTAATTGGATGCCTTCATCCTCTATGCAGAATTAGATTCCACATTCAGTATTATTCCCTACGTCACCCTTATACTCTCTTTCTCCTCATGTTTTTGGAAATACATGTTGTGTTCATAACTTAGCTCCTGAAAAAGATAAATTAGCTCCTCGTGCTCTTAAGTGTGTCTTCCTTGGTTATTCCCGGGTTAAAGGGGTATTACTCACCTGATCTTCATAGGTATCTTATGTCAGTTGATGTCACATCTTTTGAGTCTCAACCTTACTTTACTTCTTTTGATCATCTTGATATATCTGAGGTCTTACTTGTACCTACTTATGAGGAATCCACAGCCACAACACCACTACTAACTATACAAACTTTTGAGGAGTCTACAGTTGCTCCTACTACATCCCCATCCACCTAAGTTGCGCGGACTCTTCGTTTTTGGTGCAGTATCCGTCTCGACACGGGATGGGAGCGGGAATGTGATACGTCCCGTATTTGGTTAACTAATTTCGGATACTTTGACCTGAGTCCATCGACAAATTTGTGGGAAAATTAAGATTTTGATTTCTCAAAATTAAAAATTAAACATGTTAGATAGTTATGTGTAAATAGTCCTAATCCCATATGTAGTAGGAGTAGAATATCTCCTAGTCTCATATGCAGTAGGAGTAGAATATGTCCTAATCTCATATGTAGTAGGAGTAGAAGATGTATTATATATAGGGCGGCCTGATCACCTCTCTCAATACTTCTTAGGTCGCCCTTTACCTCTTCTCCTACTTGTCAGCGCCAACCGTTCACACTTTCTCGCTGGGGCATCTAGGTTTCTCCTTCTTACATGCCCTAACCATCTAAGCCCCACTTCTCGCATCTTATCCTCTATGGGGCAACGCCCACTTTCTCTCGAATATCCTCATTCCTAATCTTATCCAACATAGTGTGCCCGCACATCCATCGCAACATCCTCATTTTAGCTACGTTCATCTTTTGGATATGAGAGTTCTTAACTGGCCAGCATTCTGCCCCATATAATATAGTCGGTCTAACCACCGCCTTGTAGAACTAACCTTTATGTTTTGATGGCACATTCTTGTCACCATGACGGCAGATGCTAACCTCCATTTCATTCACCCCGCCCCTATACGGTGTGTGACATGTCAATCTCCCCGTTTCCTTGGATAACTGACCCAAGATACTTGAAACTCCTTCTCTTGGGGATGACTTGCGAATCAAGCCTCACATCTAATATCCGCTCCTCCGTCACGTCGTTGAACTTCCACTCTAAGTACTCCGTCTTAGTGCTACTAAACTTGAAATCTTTAGACTCTAAGGTCTATCTCCAAACCTCCAACTTCTCGTTGACATCGCTTTGCATCTCATCAATCAGAACTATATTATCAGCGAATAACATACGCCATGGTACCTCCCCTTGAATATGACGTGTCAGTGCATCCATCGCCAAAAAAAATAAGAACGGGCTAAGCCCAGATCCTTGGTGTAACCCCATCCCAACCGGAAAATGTTCCGAGTCTCATCCCACTATCCTCACCCGGGTCTTAGTTCCATCATACATGTCCTTAATCACTCTAATGTATGCTATAGGAACACCTCTAGCCTCCAAACATCTCCAAATGACCTCCCTAGGGACCTTGTCGTGCGCTTTCTCTAGGTCAATAAACACCATATGCAAATCCTTCTTCATATCCCTATAGTGTTCCACCAACCTCCTAAAAAGATGGATGGCTTCCGTAGTCAAACGTCCCGGCATGAAACCGAACTGGTTCTCGGAAATAAACACAGTATCCCTCTCTCTCAGTCGAGCTAGTTTAAATATTTTTTTCTCCTCTTTTCGTGTCACTAGCTTCTTGTAAAGTCCATCTAGGGCTTCCCCTCGAGCTTTACTAAAAGCCATCTTTACTTCCCTTTGTTCCCTTTAAGTCTTGCCCTTTTCCAATTGAGTCATGAGTTAGTTAATTTCGTCGTTTGGATAACAGTGACGTGGAGATTATTGGGAATTGTCAGGAGCATTGGTCCCTTATTTTGTACTGGAATTGCCAACCATGGTTAATGAGAATGAAACCCTAGTTCTGCTCTTTCTTTCTTCTTCCTCTTTCTCTTTGTTCTCTTTTCATTTCTCATATAGCTACGATATTGTGTGTTGAATTTGTGTAGTTCCACAACTTGAACCTTCGCCTATTTCATATACTATCTAAACTTAGTTCATCCCTCTTTGCGACTTTGTGTTAGGTACTTTACTTTGCTAAGGCTGCAGTAGAGACTGGAAGCATTGTTAATAACGTGTCTAGTGCTGGCCCTAGGGTTAATCTCTTTTTGATAACCAGGTTTCCTAGTTCTCTTTAATAATTACTAGTAGTCGTACCCGCGCGATGCGCGGTCAATATAAAAAAGAAAAAATTAAATTATAATAATTCTTGTTTGATACTATTAGACCGTATTGCTTTAACAAATTTTAATTGCCATTTTATTTGTCAATGCGATATACCCAACCCTCACCGATATTTGAGTAGTTAATTTCTTTGTTAATTTTTAATAAATAATTTTTTTGTTATTGACTAATTATATCATGTGGCTTTTATCTAGGCTACCACTTGTATTAATGTGGTGCCTTTTTCTTTGGCTTTTAATAATATATAGATAGATTATTAGCATACTTGTTTGATATTTTTGTTTGCTATTTTTTTGTAATATAATATAAGATATACATTTTATTACTCTAGAAAATATTTATTTTTTATTTTAAATTTTATTATATTTTTCTCAATAATATTGTTTGAATTTTAATGAATAGATATAATTTTTATTTCAAAAAATAAAAAATAAAATGATTTTAAAAAATAAAATAAAGAATTAACTAACCTAAACCAACTCTCCCCCATGTTTTAGTAGTTAATTTTGGGTAGTTAATTTCTTTGTTAATTTTCAATAGATAATTTCTTTGTTATTAACTAATTATTCCATAAGGTTTTTTCCTAGGCTACCACTTGGCATAAGGAGAGGGCTTTATTTTCTCCTTTTAATAATATATAGAAGATATATAGAATATAGAATATTAGAAAGAAACTACTCCACAATTTGAATCAAAAGTTTTTTATTGCTTTATTTTTATTATTTTATTTTAAAACAATTATAAACTCCAACTTGAAACTACTCCCCAATTTGAAATGGTAATTTTTATTTTTCTAATTTTATTTTTTTATTTTAAAGCTCCAACTTGAAACTACTCACCGATTTGACTGGGTAGTTTTTCTTCTTCTTTTTTCGTTTTTTTATTATAGTTAATTTTATTTTTGTTTTTATTTTAAAATATTTTTAATACTCCAACTTGAAACTACTCCCACCCAATTTGAATGTGTATTTATTTTTTTTTATTTTAAAATAATTTTAATACTCCAACTTGAAACTACTCCACCCAATTTGAATGTGTAGTTGTTTTTTATATATTTATATTTTTGATTTTTTATTATAACTAATTATGAGATATCTATATGTATTAATTAAAATAAAGTAACCAATTTATATATATATATATATATATGTAAATATATATATATATATATATATATATATATATATATATATATATATATATATATATATATATATATATATATATNTTAAATTCATACATAATAACTAATAACTAATTATTAACTAAAAAACTACTTAATAACTAATTATGCCATGTGGCTTTTTTTTATGATGCCACTTGGCTTAAGGAGAGGGCTTTATCCTCTCCTTTTAATAATATATAGATTCAACCGATGAGACTTGTTATTATATGTTTTAGGGTCTATGATAAGCATTAATTGGTTACAGCATAAAAATGGTATCTAACCTGCTATTGTAGGTTAAACTACAGTAATAGTGTGAAAAATCTTTACACTGTATGTGTATGTAACTTAATTTCTTAGAAAAATGATCTTAAAAGTTGTACTTGGATGACTTGGTGTTTGGCTGCAACTGTTAGCTTCAGATAGTTTCTTTTGGAGCACTGCGTAACCCATGCTTAATTAAGTTAGATTGACTCAAACTGGATTGCAAACATGTCTATTTGACTTTGAGCTGGTCCAAAATTGTTGTTACAACAACTCGCATAATCAATTATTAAGTCTTGTTGCATGATACTTTATATGGGAAGTTGAACTTGGAGTCTGCAATACTGAACAAGAGAAGAGCTCGATTCAGTATTTAAGCTGTCAACTCAACTATTAAGCTTTTTGGCGTGATGGATAGTTGATGTAATTCATGTAATTGCAGCTGCAAATGTCGTTGTCTCATGGGGAAGGGGAGAGGATGGACAACTCGGCCTTGGGGATGCTGAAGATCGATTTTCTCCAACTCAGGTCAGTGCATTGGATGAGCAGCAAATAGTATCTGTCACTTGTGGAGCTGATCATGCAACTGCTTACTCTGAGGCCCTCAAGCAAGTCTATAGCTGGGGATGGTAGGTTTTCATTCCATCAAATACTTCTAATTAAAACATTATTCTATTCAGAATCTTTGTTAAAGTTATGATAACTGGTAAGTTCTTGATATTAGCTAGTATTAAATATGAGTGTTATCTCAGGAATTTGGCTGTTAGTAAACCTGAGAATTCCTGATACTTTTGTGGTTTGTATATTAATAGATCTTATCTTAGCTAGTCCCTTTTCTGAACTGCCCAAAACCTGTTTATACGCAACTTGAGGAAGCAATTCGTGAAGCTACCTCTTCTACATATTGCAAATATATTTTGAGCATGCCGAAGAATGGAACGTTAGAGGTGAGATCCTGAATCTGCTTAATGTAGTCCGAACATAAAAGTTGGCCAATAATGTGATAAAAATCTCTGAACTTTTAGAAACAAAGCGAACATAAAAGAGATTATAACAGCACGAAGAGGCAAATACAAATGCTGATGAATTGGGAGCTTGATTAAACATCCAATTTAGATGTGACAACATGCAGCAACTATTAACTAACAATAGAATGATGTAGGAAGCAAAGAGTGGTAGATGCTGGTATTAAACCTCTGGTTTGAGAGTGCTGCTTTAATTGAGATGACTTTGAAGTCTTCCCCACTGTTTTGTAGCTTCTCAATACTTTTTGTTCTTATAGGTTCGAAATAAGTTATTATCTTTTCAGTCATGTTATACCTCGGTAAACATACATTTTTTTTGTGTGTTTTGTAAACTAATTTTTGTTAATAGAAAACCGCGTTGTACAAGCATGCACCTGGAAAAACACAGTTCACTTCTTAATGCATTACATGTTCAATTCTTCATGAAATAATTTCATTAAGGATATGCTTTTCCCATCTTTGCTTGAGTTTCTATCATTCTTGGCGTTCCTCGAGTTCTTGTAGTCTCAATAATTAAGGGTCTTGTTCTATTCATCAAAAAGAGAAGGCTGAATACATACGCGATCCCTTAAACTGGCCCAATCTTTTCAATTAGACACTTTAACTAAGCCTTGTTCCTATTGAACACCTGAACTCATGCCTAAGTATATCTATTAGACACAATTTTCACAATCTGCGAAACAGTATAAGCGTGTGTTGCTAAACGCTTCGTACGTGGCCAAAAAAGCAAATCAAAATGTGACAAGTGGAAAATCTTTAAAAAAAATTCTTTTAGAAAAGTCTTCTTCTTCCACCCATTCTTAATTACTTCCATGGTTGGCCAACAGAGCTCCCCATTAAAACCACCCTCACATTCCCTTAAAAAGAAAGAAAGAGCTATCACTCAAGCCTCTATTCCTTCCTCTAAAAAATCATTCACAGCCACCATAAATTCCTTACAGCTTCTCCACTACACCCCTGCACTTTTCACAGCAAAAGCCATGAACAATATCCAACACCATCTTATTCTATCCAGTTCACTACCATTGCTCACAATCTATCTCCATTTCATCTCCGCCTAGAATCATGCTATCATCATACTCTTGTTAACCATCATCCTCGACGACCACAAACCCACCATCAGAACGGCCACAATCTTTAACCTTCATCGCTACATAACATTAATAATTAAATAGTCGGCAACACCAACCTCCATTTCACTATGTTTTATCAAATACAACGGCTTCCCGTAACTCCATTTCACTCTATTTTGAGTTTTTTTCAATAGCTTGTGGCGGTAGGAATGGCGGTGATAATGGAGTTTGGGTTTTCAGTGGCGGCATTTGGATGGAGATACGGTAGACGATGGTTATTATGGAGGTGGGACAGCAGTAATAAGGTGAAGGAGCCTAGTGGCAGCATGAAGTTTATAAAATCGAAACGATGGAGGTGCTATAGTGGGGGTACGACGGCTTTGGTGGTGAATTCCTAGGGTTCGAGTGAATTTGAGATTGTGAGTGTCGTCTCTCTGTTTGTGTGTGCCTAGTGTATTCCGATGAAAATTGTGTACATTGTTTTTTTGTTTGTATGTGTGTAATGTGTATTGAGTGGTAAAAGAGAGAAAAGGTAGAAGGGGAGGTGGTGCTGGCTGGTATGGCAGAGGAGGTGGTGGTAGGAGAGAGAATGGGAAGAAGTGAGAAAAAAATTCTTTTTTTCTTTCAAAAGTTATGCCTTTCATGCGCCTTAAATGAGTGTATTGCACACACTGTGCCATGTAAGCACCGTGTGTCTAATTAACACACTTTATTTTCACTTCCGGTGTTCAATAGGAACAAGTCTTAGTTTATGTGTCTAAATAAAATAAAAAAAACGGACAAATTTAAGGGGTTGCATATGTTTCCAGGGCCAAAAACGAATTTAGAGTATTGTTCTTTGGTTGTAAAATTTCACTGGTCACCCTTAGTTGTGATTGATACTCCCATCCATCCCAATTTATGTGATACAACTTCCTTGTTTAGATATTCAAATAGACCAACTTCTACATCTTGATCAAATGATGATTCAAGCTTTTTGAAAATAAATTCGATACTCATAAAGTACTTGAAATTGTATGTGCATTGGCTGGTGGTGACAATTTATTCGAAGAATGGTATGGTCAAGAAATGAAGCCTTTTTTTTGGGTTCAAAATTCAACATCTCTAATTTCCTGTAGTCCTCACTTTTTTCAGCCATCTTATCCAATATATGTTGATTCGTTATGAGTGTTTGCCCTATGTATATTGAGTCTTATCATTGAACTTGCTTTTAGTTTCCCATGATCAGTGCAATCTTAGCAACTCCCCATGGTCTTCACTGAGACAAATGGGAGTATTCTGCTTGGTTTTACCATAATACGTGGATTGAATCCTACCAAGAATAATTTCTGCGATGAAAGAACATGAAGAACATTAACTTTCTATGCAGCATGTACTTTTAATGATTGTGTCAGCATGCATTTGGATCAAATCAGCAGGCGTTGTTTCTATTTCATTTGGTAGGGGTGATTTTGGGAGATTGGGTCATGGAAACTCCAGTGACTTGTTCACTCCTCAACCAATAAAAGCACTGCATGGTATATGCATTAAGCAGATTGCATGTGGGGACAGCCATTGTCTTGCTGTGACAATGGAAGGCGAAGTGCAGAGGTTGGTTGCTGCTGCTCTTGAGCTGTTGTTTTGGTGGACCTGTAAACCTTATGCTCATTTCTCTTCTTTTTCTTTTGATAAATATGTTTGTTTTGTCTCCTTAACCAGTGTTGCTATGACATTTGTCCAATCTAAATTAGGTGCATCTGTAATTTTACCATGTTCATCAATCTTCTATCAATATTTAACTCTTAAGACTTCTGGTCTCATTTCTCTATTCATCTTTTTTCTTAAAGTAAATTGGCAGTTCATCAATCTTTCTATTTTCGAACATTACTTCCGCAAACTTGAGGCAATCTTTTGTTCTAAAATTTTGTGGCTCTCATCTGTCACTTTTTGCTAGTTTGAGTTCAAAAAAAAAAATTAATTGCCTGCTATGATTTGGCCATTTCCAGAATGAACATGAAGGTGTTTAATTTTTTCTTAATGGTAAAATTTGGATGCTTAGAAACCACATTGTTTAAAAGTTGTACAGAAAGAATCCAACATATAGCAGCCACAAATTTCCTACTTAACGATTTGAATATAGATTTGAAGCATGAAAAGTGAAACATGACACTGAAGTTTTGGAAGGAAATGAGGCTCTCTTATTTGATGAATATAACAAGTAAGAACCACTATCCAAAATATGGTAGGGTTCTCAATAAACTATCAACTACGGAAAGAGAAAATTTGAAGTCTTTTTGACTTATTATGTTTATTTAGAAAGATGGAAAGAATACAATTCCGTCTTCCCCAATAAAGTGACATATTTATTTCCTTTCGTCTCCACTTTCTGCTCAAACCAAACAAAGGACAAAAAGCACTTCCTACCACATTCTTTTATATTATGTAATTTTTATATTATCATCCTGCCTCTTTCTCTGACTAGTAGGATCACATTTTAAGTTTTCCCTGAATATAAAATATAGAAATCTGGTTTGCATACTTGGACTCGCTTTCTTGATATAAGATTTTATTATTTCTAAAGCTGCTTCTTTTTCATCTGACAATTTGAATCCAACTATTAATATTGTTATCAATTCAATTTTAGTTGGGGGAGAAATCAAAATGGCCAACTAGGCCTTGGCACCACAGAGGACTCTCTTGTGCCTCAAAAGATTGAAGCTTTCAAGGTATTGCTTCCTAATTGTTTGTTATGTTTTATGTAGTTATTGTCTTGTTCTTTCACAAACTCTTCTGTGACATTCCTGGTGACTTATCAAAATGATGGTGTAAAGGATCCTTACTCTCAAGGCTTCACTTAGCTTATATGTTTGAATTCCAATAAATTAATAGCTTTATTCATATAGTGGTGATAAACTTCAAATTGCTCATATAATGAGAAAATATTCTCTGAAATTACTCGGTTATGAGTGCGTCATTTGGAATACTTGTGATGTAAGAACCTTTGTTGCTTTCATTTCGCAAAGATATGTAAGTACTCCAGCCGAAACCTGGTGTAGAAGATATGCATCTGCTTTGTTAGTTATCCAAGGGTGGACAATAATTGATTTTGTAATTGAACTTCTTGGCTTTTTTGAAAGGTTAGCCATGAAACTTTCTCGATGAATGACTTGATAAGAATTTGAATTTCTTTGGTTGTGCATCATATTTGATTTGGTGTCACAATATCTGAAATTTACCTAACTACAACATGCTTTTGCAGGGAATACCTGTAAAAATGGTTGCTGCTGGTGCCGAACATACAGCTGCTGTTACAGAAGATGGTGAACTTTATGGTTGGGGTTGGGGTCGATATGGTAATCTGGGGTTAGGTGACCGAAATGATCGCTTGGTTCCAGTAAAAGTTTCAGCTACTGTGGTAGGCATCTTGTGTGGAATTCTGTTGATTACTATCAGGCTATTTTTTAATTACTGCAACCACATCGTACAACTGGGTTTAAAACATTGTTTTGTGGTATGGAATTATTTTTATAATGTGTATCTGTTATTGCTCAAAAAGATGTATTGCTGACATGCAACACAAAGTTTAATGTTTGTTTTCAATTTTCTTTTCGTGTCAGAAGTGTTTAATCTGCAGATTTATAAGTTCTTCTGGATTAGGGGAAACTGGGGAAAAGGTAAAAAAACGAATATCCGCAGAAACCATTCGGAGAGAATTATTTGGAAAGTATATTGAGCGTGTCAAATGGTTAGGTTGTTGTATTCAGTTTGAGTTATGCCTTGGGCTTCAAACAAAAGGATTATAGGAGAGAAACATAGTGCCCTGAAATGTTTACCTTGAGTCTGTAATCTGTATATGTGGATTTTGTTTGCATGAAGGCTGTAAATATTTTGTATTCTACATAGCTAATGCCAAGTAGACTCTAGTAAGGACGTTGAGAGACTTACTTCTTTGGACGAATGACATTGTGGTGATTTCGTGTAATTATTTTGAACCTGAAGAACTAATTTGGATCGTTAAGTTGTTGAAGTTATTGGTTTGTTCATCTTCTTGTATCTATTGAAAGAAGTGCACCGGTTAGCAGTAAGGTAAATTTCGGGTTTCTTCTTCCATTTTATAATTTGTGTTTCTTTTTCACCTAGTTATTTACATGCATTCTGGCAATAGCCGACCCACCTCCTTGGTTTCAGCTTGTTGAGATAGTACGTTTAACTTTTGGGAATCATGGATTATTTAAGTGAAATTCAAGGAATAACTTGTATTTCACTATCTCTGGAGTACATGTATATATACAATTACAAGAGGCTGTATCAAAGGTAAGTAATTATCCTCAATTACAAGAAGCTCTATCAAAGGTAAGTAAATATCCTACACATCTCTCCTATGATTTAGCTAGCTATACAAGGCAAGAGAATATCTTTACACGATTCTATAATATTCTGTAACATTCCTCCTCAAGCTGGAGAATGGATATTGATCATGCCCAGCTTGTTACATAGATAATCAACTCGAGCTCCATTCAATGCCTTTGTGAATAAATCAGCTAACTGCTCTCTTGTCTTCACATAGCTAGTGGAAATCGAGTTTTCCTCCGTCTTCTCACGAATAAAATGGAAGTCCACCTCGATGTGCTTGGTTCTTCAGCTTGATTATCAAACCAAAGTTTTGCTGGTGTAAATAATTCAACCCAACTTCATTTAAAAGATGATGTATCCACATAATCTCACACGTGGATTGTGCCCTAGCTCTGTGCTCGGATTCGGTACTGGATCGAGTTACAACATTCTGTTTCTTACTTCTCCATGATACTAAATTTCCGCCTACAAAAACATAATATCTGGTAGTAGACCCTCTATAAATCTTAGATCCAGCCCAATCAACATCCACAAAGCACTCAATACGAGTATGCCAATGGTTGCTATATAATATGTCAAGTCCATTGGCTCCTTTTAAGTAACACAGAATTTGTTCCAAAGTAGTCCAATGTTTGACTATAGGTGCGGACATGAACTGGCTAACAATACGTATTGCGAAAGCAATATCCGGGCGAGTTACGGTGAGATAGTTAATTTTTCAACTAATCTTCTGTATCTCTCTGGATCGTCAAAGGGATCACCATCATCTTTTGTTAGCTGCACATTAGGAACCATTGGAGTACTACAAGGCTTGGCTGGCAACTTTCCAGTTTCCTCAAGCAAATCAAGGATATACTTTCTTTGGGACAAAAATATTCCCTTCCTGCTTCTAGATACTTCTACTCTCAAAAAGTATTTCAACTGTCCCCAAGACTTTCGTGTGAAACCGAGTGTGCAAGAATGACTTAAGAGAAGAGATCCCTGCATAATCTCTTCAGGTGATGATAATATCATCAACACATACAACAAGAAGAATAATCTCAATCGTTGATTGTCGGTAGAAGATTGAGTGATCACATTTGCTCTTTGTAAGCCCAAACTCCTGAACTACCTTACTAAATTTTCCAAACCAAGCACGAGGACTTTGTTTCGAACCATACAAGGATTTCTTCGGGTGACAGACTTTCCCATACCCCCCCCCCCCCCCCCCGACCGCAACAATATCACGGGAAGGGACACCATATCTCAATTGTTCAACATGAGAGAAAGGAGACGAAACAACCTTATCCACGAATTGCTCTAAGCTTGGTGAAGTGACTCTATATATGAGCCATTCTTCTTCCTCCTCCTGGCGGGGAGAAGTGTGAAGGGAGGAAAAGAATGGGGTATTGTCGGAGAAAACCCCATCCGTCGAGACCATATATTTATTTAGGGTTGGAGAGTAGCACCGATACCCTTTCAGGAGGCGAGAATGCCCTAAAAAGAAACATTTTAAGGCCTTTGGATCCAGTTTAGTGACATGAGGCCTTACATCACGAACATAACATATACTACCAAACACCATTGGCTCTAGTGGAAATAGTGCCTTATTAGGAGAGGGAACATTATAGGGAATGTCACCATTAAGTACTAAAGACGGCATACGGTTAATGAGAAAGCTAGCTGTAGAAACTGCATCAGCCCAAAATTGCTTAGGAACTTTCATTTGGAATAGCAAAGCACGAGCGGCCTCAAGCCGGTGTCTATTTTTCCTATTAGTCACTCCATTTCGAGAGGGTATGTCCACTCAAGAGGATTGATGGAGAATGCCCTGCCAATTCATATAATTCTGAATTGATTGTGACATGTATTTTTTAACATTATCGCTCCTTAATGTATCTATGGAAGGGCAGCCTTGGCATAACCGGTAAAGTTGCTGCCTTGTGACCAAGAGGTCACGAGTTCGAGCCGTGGAAACAACCTCTTGCAGAAATGCAGGGTAAGGATGCGTACAATAGACCATTGTGGTTCGGCCCCTTCCCCGGACCCCGCGCATAGCGGGAGCTTAGTGCACCGGGTTGTCCTTTTTTAATGTATGTATAGAAACATTGAATTGTGTCTTAATCTCAGCACAAAAAGTAGAGAATGAGAAAACACCTCAGAGAGGTTCTTCGTAAAATAAATCCATGTCGTTCGGGAAAAATCATCCACAAAAGTAACAAAATATCTGAACCCGCTTCAGACACAACAGGACATGGTCCCCAAACGTATGAATGGACTAGTTCAAAAACAAAATCAACTCGTTTATTGATTCTAGGGCTTAATGAGCTTCAATGATGTTTTGCAAAATGACAAGACTCACAATCTATTAAAGGTACATTGTGAAACCGACGACATAAATTCTTCAAAAACAGGTAGAGAAGGATGTCCCAACCGACAATGTGCTTCAAATTGAGAGACAACACTCTAGCAAACAACTGACCGAGGCACCTATGTGTCAAAAATGTCCTTTACCAATGTTTTGCTTCGTCATAAGATCCTAAAAAACACAATGATGAGGAAAAATGAGATAAAGCAATGTATGTCTCTGGTGAGTTTACTCATGGAAATCAAATTAAAGGAAAGGCTAGGTAGACTTAGCACAAAGGACAAGGTAATAGATGAAGTGGGTTTAACTGTCCCAGATCCCTCAATTGTATAGGTTGACTCATCGGTTATAGTTACAGGACCGAAACTAGAGAAGACTTTATAATTACCTGTCATGTGATGTGTGGCACTAGAATCAATGACCCATTTGTTTGAGGAGGAAATGAGACATTTGTTACCTGACTCAGCATGAGCTGGAGGAGATTCTTTACCTATATTCTGATATTGAGCGAGCCTGGCATATTCATCTGCTGAGATTGTAACAGTTTTCTCTAAGGATGAACGGGAAGTAAAGCAACAGTGGTTGTCTGAGTTCTTTGATTATGAATATGTAATTTCTTACAATTTCGTTTCATGTGTCCTGGTTCCATACAGTAGCGGCAAATAATGTCAGTGCTTCCTCCTTTGTTATTGTTCCACCGCCCAGCATTGTTGTTATTATTCCACCTCCCTGGCTCACTGTTATTGTTCCCCCTCCCTGGATCACTGTTATTGTTCCACCTGCCAGTATTATTTTTTTCCTCTCCTTTTGCAACAAGCACATTCATATACTGATTGGACGGAGTACTCTTTGTGCTCACACCAAACAGAAAACATCTTTGAGAGAGAATCTGTGATTTGGCTGTCTCAAACTCAGAGGGGAGTCCATCAGTTGGAGGGTCATCAGTGAGGTGGTCATCTTTCTCAACACTACGCAAATATACCTGATTTTTCTACTCCAATCTAAATAATTAGGCCCATTTAGTTTATACTCCGTAATTTGGATAGTGCTGGAACTATTTCAGAAGTGACATAAGTCTTATCTTCAGACATTTTTAATTAATGCCAAAATACTGACTACTCCACAATTGAATCAAAACCCTCCTTCCTAGAAATAACAGAACCCTACCCAAACAATAAGTGTACAATTGCAGAATACTTACGATGGAAACAAATGAATCAACACACCTTAAAGAGATTCAACACCAGAAGAGTACGAGGAATGAAGAGGCGACGCCGGAGAAACAAGCCAAGATCTGTTTTTCCGGACCACAGACCACACGCATCGGCGAGTGAGAGACAGTCACAAGGTACAGGTGGCGCATGAGATTAACTCGCTGCCCGCCCAGATGCCGGAGATGAATCTTCCGGGCAGAAACCTCCATCCCTTTCTTCATACAGTGCTGGTGAGATAAGCTACTCACCTCTTAGCTTTGACCTAAGTAGCCGAAGCCTTTTCCTAAGATGCCAGGAAAAGTTTCGATTTTGCTGGAAAGAGATCTTGAGCCCTAGGCTCTGATACCATGGAATTCAAGGGAATAACTTGTATTTCACAATCTCAGGAGTACATGTATATATACAATTACAAGAGGCTCTGTCAAAGTTTAGTACATATCCTACAAATCTCTCCTATGATTTAGCTAGCTATATAAGGTAAGAGAATATCTTTACACGATTCTACAATATTCTGTAACATTAAGCAAACAATTTGTACTAAGGTATGTTGTCTGTTTCCATTTTTTCCCCTTTTCACTTGGCTTTTACATGCATACTGGCGATAATGGACCTCTATGTTCTCAATTTATTGAGCTGAAAATATTGAATTTTCTCTTTACAACTTTAGATAATATTCTGTTTGCTTTGGTTCTTGAGATAGGTATTCAGCTACGCTCTGTACAAATATTATATACAACTGCCTGCACTCTGCCGGCACTTGCTCTAATCTTTGTTCCTGTTTTTAGCCCCCTTGTCTATTTACCTGATATCTAGAATTGCAGGGAGAAAAGATGTTCAAGGTTGCATGCGGTTGGCGGCACACTATCTGTGTTTCCTCTTCTGGTGCTTTGTATACATATGGTTGGAGCAAATATGGTCAACTAGGACATGGTGATTTTGAGGATCATCTTTTCCCTCATAAGGTTCAAGCTTTGCATGGCAGTTTTACTTCTCAGGTACTTATTCTTTTATATGAAAACTTTCTGGCATACGTTTCTAAGATTAAAGATGGGAAGTTTTTATAGTAACTATTTTACTCTTTTTTGTGCATTTCCGGGCAGTGAAAATTGTTGACCTCTTTATATCTGTGTTTTTATGCTTTATAGCTCCTTAATCCAAACAATTTACCTGACTGAAGTCTTTTTCCTAGCGAAATATTTGTATAGATGTTCTCATATCCTGCATAGACTTTTACTGAAATTTGACATGCTCCTTTGTGTGCTTTGCTATTAACTTCTACTGGTTTATCTGTGTGGTATTTGCCATTTTTAACTTTCTCAGATTTTTGTTATATACTTTATTGTGACCTAGGAAGTGTTAAACTATGAAACTCTCTATTCGCAATTTAGCTATTGTAGTAACACGAAATGTAATTGCTGCATATAAAGGAACATGTCCAGTAATAGGTTTTAGGTATCCAGCAATTTTCAAGAGATGGAAGGCATATGAAAGTCTGCATGTTAATTTCAAGCAAAAAGATGGACAACCAAATGAAATCATGAGCTGCATTCCAAGAAGAGACACTACATATGCTCAATGAGTTTGCAAGTGAAAGGCATTGAATGGAAAAAAAATGCATCCATAATTTGTTTATATTGTATGATTTTATCAGGTATATTCTGTGCATGCTAAGATAAAGAACCAAACTCTGAAAACAAGTGATTTTTGTCATGGCTTACATGCCTAACATATCTCATTTTGCACATGGAATAACTGCTTAAAGGATAACTGTTTTCCATGGATATTTCTTGTTGCGATCTTAACGTGTTTGTATTTTATTTACCTTGTCAGTACTTGATCCACTCTGAGTTGTGTGAAAGTCAAGAATTAGATATGTGAAAGAATGTTAAATTGATTAGGTAGAGAAGTGCTTAAAATATTACTTTGAAAATACAAATATTGATGTGTAAGAAGGAGCCTGTTGACAGAGTAACTTATGCCTAGACATATGTGGAGTTGTTGATTCGTTCTTCAAGAACATGAAAAGCATGGAGATAGGGGCGGAGGTACCGCTCAACTTACAGGTTCAGCAGAACCCAGTAGCTTTGGCCCAGATCCTTTATTTGTGTTAAAAATTCTGCTTAATATTTAGAAATAATTTATCAAGAACCCAATAAGCTGCCTTTTTTTTTTTTTTATAAATCTAGAACCCATAAACTCAAAATACTGGCTCCAATATGAGACACATACTTATTGGTGGGTGAGAAATCCTTTGAGCTCGTTGATATCAGCAACGTCGGGCTAAACTGGTTCATGATGGCAGGACAAACAAGAAACTCTACATGCAAATTAAGATAGATGAAGACAATCTTGGTTGAATTTCCAGTCTACCAAGGCAAGTTTTGAAGGATCTGATAAGGCATGTCGTAGATGGGAATGTATGGTTCAGTCTATGGGTCTAGAGTATATTAAAACTTAAATAGATTTAGAAGGAAAGATATGAAGCATGGATTGGATAGTATAAAATGCAGTAATTATTCCAGAAATAATAGAAAATGTTGGATGGAAATATGCATAGAAGATGTAGAAGAGCAAAAATACAGAGGAATCTAAAATCTAACTTACCCAAAGGATCCTGTGCAGAGGCTGCAACAATATAAATGTTGCCAGAACAGCTCATACGAGAAATTAAAGTATTAGATAGTCCAGCTAATAGGATTACATTGGATGAGAAAGCTTAGAGAGATCGAAAGATTATCTAACTGGTTGCCTTGTGGGTAGCTTTGATGATGCAAGAAAAGCTTATCCAAGTGCCACACTGTTAAAGAATTGTTAAAAATTGGTGCATGTTAGATAGTTATGTGAATAACCCTATCCCCACATGGAATAGGAGTAGAATATGTATAGTGTATAGTTTTATAAATATGGCTATTGTAAAACACTTAATAGAATATCAATAATTGTTGATTGGCTTAATTATTAGGAAAGACTTGTTTCTGATTGAGATTTGATTTTATTCTAATTGATTGTAAATTGAATGTAACTTATTTTCCTTCCTAAAATAGTCATAGGACCTAGTGTATAAATACCTTTGCTTAGGGATGTAGATGTAAGAAATACACAAAAATACAAGAAGCGTTTTCTTCTTCTCAAAAATCTACATGGTATTAGAGTCATTGCTACCTTTTTTGAGATGAGTTTTCTCTCTCTTGTTGGCTGTCCGCAATACATACTCCTTCCGATTCCGTGGAGACAAATTTGGTCTCCGGCGAGGCAGATTATTTTTGAGCAATTTTCTTCAGATTTCTTTCTTATTGTGCAGAAAATATGGTGACATACAAAGAGACAGTTTCAGGAGAAATCTTGTCTTCGAATGAAATTCAACGTACTCTGTCGCCACCTAGCCAAACTTGACTCCGCTAATGTTACCACATCCAATTATGTGCAATTAGGTACCGCCTTTGCTGCTCACCTTAATTCTTGGATTGTTGATTCTGGTGCAAATAGACACATGGAGAAGGGTAAGATGAGCAGCAAAGGTACTTGCAGTACCTGATTGCTCATAATTGGATGTGGCAACATTAGCAGAGTCAAGTTTGTATAGGAGGCGACGAAGAAGCTGAATTTCATCCGAAGACAAGATTTCTCCAAAACTCGTCTCCTTGAATGTCTCCATATTTTCTGCCCAATCAGAAGGAAACTTGAAGAAAATTGCTCAAAAATAATCTGCCTCGCCGGAAGCCAAATCTGCCTGGAGGGAACCAGAAGAGGTTTGTGTTTGCAGACAGCCACCAAGAGAGAGAAAACTCGACCTCTTTGATCAAAATGGAACCCTAGTGCTGCGAACTCACCTCAAAAAGGCAGCCATGGCTTTGATACTATGTAGATTTTGAGAAGAAAAAAAAGCTTTTTATATTTCTATGTATTTCTGACATCCCTAAGTAAATGTATTTATACACTAAGTCCTATGACTATTTTAGGAAGGAAAATAAATTACAATCAATCAGAATATAATCAAGTCTTTCCTAATAATTAAGTCAATCAACAATATATTTACTGTGTGCGGTAGCCTGTTGTTTGGTCTGTAATGGGTAATGCAATATATACTTTAAAGAGGCCTTCACCAAGTGGAGTACTGTAACGTGGAGAATCATAAAGTGGTGAATCAAGAAGAAAACTGCAGCAAGCTATCCTAAGTTACACTATCCAGACAACTTTAGTTTTCTCCTTGTACTGGATTTTTTTAACTTGAATTCATCTGAAAGCAGAATTTGCTTTAAGATGAGTAGGCTTTTTGTGCTTTGTTCCTTATGTGAACTCTCATTATGTGTTTTCTTATAGAAGGCTCTATTAACGAGATTTTTTCCCAATTGGTTTATACGGCCTCCTAAAATGATATACTGAATTCGTTGTGTTCAAAAGATCAAAACATCCTTGGAAGGAAAGAAATATGAGATGCTTTAATTATCAAATTTAAAAGAAAAGATGTTTTGAGGGGAAATCAACTTCTATACCATCTAAAAAAAGCTAAATGTCATGTGAATCCCTTTTGTTGGTGTAATTACAGTGGTGAAGATATGCAGGTCAATTGTGCTAGATAATAACCCCCCCCCCCCCCACCCCTTATATCTTCCATTGTGGCTTGACATGGATATTAAGAGAGCTTTGATAATGTAAGTTGCTTCATATTTGTTGGGAGACTTGTTCATATTTCATCACAGTAAATGTGCTAAAAGATTTCTTTTACATTGACATCATTCTAGTACTTACTAGAAGGAAATATGACTTGTTTTGAAACAGAGGAATTAGCAAGGATTTAGAAAGGTTTCACATTCTGTGATTTAAGCTTTCGGGTACTGTTTCCAGTGATGCAATTATTGAAGGGATGGCATGACAAGCCTTAAAATACTTCTAAAAGCTTTTCATTGAGAGATGCGCTAAAATGCACGTATCTGTGTTCTCTTATATCTCTAAATCTCGTAAGAATTTTCATTTTCCAGATATCAGGTGGTTGGAGGCATACCATGGCGCTTACTGCTGATGGAGAACTTTATGGTTGGGGTTGGAACAAGGTTTGAGCATTGTTTCATTATTTTTTAGTTGAAAAACGCCGCTCATGTCCATTGCAACTTCAACTTAATGCACCACCTGCCTGTGTCTACACTTTGCTGTCTATGTCCATTTCTTAGTTTATTCTTATCAGAAATGGAGTATTCTTCCTCACGTTTTTCTGTTCACCAGTCCAAAGAATTTTCTCAGGTCATTCTTAGGACATATCTTATAGTGTTTGTCACATGCATTATCAACATGCAATTAATGTCTTCATGCAAATTTGTCGTACATTTTTTTGAAGATGATTTGTTAATTTCCTTCATGCTGTGTTGGTTCGTTGTTTTCATATGGAGTTCTAAGTAGCTCTTGCCTGAAAGTTTCTTTTTATATTTAGACGAACTAGGCTCACAACTATGATGTTTTTGATAGAGAAATTATTTTCCACAATTGGATGCTACAGATAGTTGGATAGCTGAAAGCTAAATGTATTAGGTAGAAAGGCACCCAAAGGGACTTGTGTGCAAAACATATGAAAAAGAAAACGAAAACTACGTATTTCCAGAATATCAGTGCACTACCTTTCCAATATTAAATCACTTGTACATCATCATTGCTAATATTTGGAATCTCATTTTTCATTGTTGACCCTTCTGTTATGATAGTTCATACTGCATTCCAGGCGTCTCGGTTGCCTTATTTCATATGTGTTTTTTTGCCTTGGCATGTACCCTTTGTCGCTTCCCTCCAACCAGTTTTATTTAATGCTAAGTAATAAAGCCTTTATGGAAGACACCATTTTACGTTCAACGCTGTCTATTCTTGTTATACTTATAATTGCTAGATGTGGCCGACATACTTTTACTATTGTCAGCCTATTTTGTTACCTGGTAATCAACTTGATTTAAATGAGAAAATCTGTTTATATGCTTCGTTATCATTTTACTTGGTCCTCCATTCAGTTTTTCTTGATCATGCATATCCTTTGCGTAAGGCGGCATTCAATCACCTGTTGCTTGATGCAAACATCCATTTAGCATCAGATAGAACTTCGCATAGGTTTATCTTATTGAATTGGTGTCTTGTTTTTCCTCATGAGCAGTTTGGACAAGTTGGTGTTGGTGACAATGTTGATCATTGTTCACCTGTACAAGTGAAATTTCCACATGATCAGGTACTGCTTTGTATGTTCAGCTGAAATGTGCTCTAGTCTTTGTCATGTATGTGCTTTCATTATCGCCTTACCTGAGAGGTCTTGAAGAAACAAAAAAAAAGAAGAAAGAGATTGACATTTTACTTTTTTTAAAATGGCAGAAAGTAATTCTGATTTCATGCGGATGGAGGCACACACTTGCTGTTACAGAAAGACAGAATGTCTTTTCCTGGGGAAGAGGTACAAATGGTCAGCTAGGTCATGGGGAGTCTGTTGATAGGTAATTACTGCGAGCATATCGAGTATTTAAACTCGTTGATAGAGCATTGAGATCTATAGTTGAATGATCTATGCTATACTATTTTTGGTCCTTAAAGCAGCTTCTCATACAACAACAACAAACCCAGTATAATCTGACACGTGGGGTAAGGGAGGGTAGTGTGTACGTAGACCTTACCCCTTACTTTGAAGGTAGAGAGGTTGTTTCCGATAGACCCTCGGCTCAAGAGAAGATGAAAAGAAAGCAGTAGCAACAATCAGTAACAACAATAAGATAATAAGAACACAAAGTGAAAGGAACATGTAGTAATAGAAATCTAACAATAATAGAATACAAAACTAACACTACTACTGGTATGGCAAGAAATACTCTCGACTACCTACTAGCCTTCTATCTAAATTCTCGACCTCCACACTTCTCTATCAAGGGTCATGTCCTCGGGAAACTGAAGCAATGCCATATCCTGTCTGATCTACTTTCTTCAATAATTCTTTGGCGTATCTCTACCTCTTCTCAATTCCACCAAGGCCAACCTCTCACACCTCCTTACTGGAGCATCTGTGCTTCCCCTATTCACATGCCCAAACCATCTAGCCTTGCTTCCCGCACCTTGTTCTCCATTGGGACCGCTTCCACCCTGGCACGAATAACTTCATTCCTAATTTTATCAATCCTGGTATGTCTTTACATCCATCTCAACTTGAATCCGAAAGAGAGTACTTGGGTTCTCCCAATAACTAAAAAGTGTAGCATGCCTGAATCTATCTAGGGTTTACATTGGTGGAGGAACTGGATCAGAAAAAAGAGGGATTCTAGTTGTAAGATATCTAACAAAATCGTCGTTGGAATTGAGATCTTATTCAAAGAGAAAGATCTCAAATATCTGGAGTTTCTTTCTATGTATTATATGGATGATCCGATTCGCAAGGGCCATGATCGGGAATTGTTTAATCGTCTTTCTCTGTGGAAGAGTCAAAATAGAATCAACTTGAATTCAGGACCACTATTCTAATCTTAGTGAAACACTGGAATTCTTATCGCATGCTTGCTTTTCGTGAAAAAATACCAATTGAAGTGGAGGATTTCTTCAAACAACAAGGGGATGGTTTTCGGAAATAGACACTCCTCTCTTCACCCTTGCTTCCACCACCCTCTCCCAAACTTTCATAGTATGGCTCAGCAACTTGCAATTTTGGATATCACCTTTATTCTTGTACAATGGAATGATGTTAAACAACCGAGTGAGTCATTCCAAGCCTGCCCTTCCTGCGCTCTTCCAAAGTTCCACCGGGATTTCGTTTGGCCCTATCGGTCTACCCCGCTCATCTTACGCATAGCTCCATCTACCTCCTCAATACTAATACGCCTACAATAACAAAAATCTCGAAGATTCTCGGAGTGCTTCACATCACCTAACACAATCTCCCTGTCCCCCGCTTCGTTTAGGAGTTTATAGAAGTATGAATGCCATCTACGTCTAGTATGTGCCTCTTCCATCAATACTCTGTCTTTCTCGTCTTTGATGCACTTCCTTTGGTCCAAGTCACGGACCTTTCTTTCTCTCACCTTGGTTATCCTGTACAACTTCTTGTCCCCATTTCTTCCCCTAAGTTCTTCATACAAATGCCCAAACGCTGCAGTCTTAGCTGCTGTAACCGCCAACTTCGTCTCCTTTTTGGCCTTCTTGTACCACTCCCTATTCGTCCTCTTCTCCTCCTCCTTGCTTTCCACCAGCTTTAAATACGCTACTTTCTTGGCTTCTATTTTTCCTTGGACCTCTCCATTCCACTATCTGTCCCACTGGTCCACTAGAGTAACCCTTCGAGACTCCTAGCACCTCTCTAGCAGCTTCTCTAATGAAGTTCGCTGTCATGGTCCACATACCGCTCGCGTCCCCAGAACTCCTCTAAGCCCCCATAGCCACCAACTTCTCCCCCAACTCCCAAGCTGTCCTTAGTCACGGCTCCCCACTTGATTTTAGGTTGACCATACACAACCCTCTTTTTCGTCTCCCTCATGATCTTTAAGTCCATCACCAAGAGCCTATGTTAAATCAAGAGATTCTCACTTGGGATAACCTTGCAATCCATGCAAACACCTTTATCACACTTCCTAAGGAGTAGGTAGTCAATCTTGGCCACCGCACTTTGGAAGGTAACTGATCACGCCCAACTATGCCTTATAAAAAGACACGCGGACGTTGCAAATATTGTCTGGGTATTTAGGCCCAGAGTCGAATCCACAGGGAATTAACCTATCAATTACTTTCTTTGGATGTACTCATTTCTATGGAATCAACTTTCCCAAACTTTATAAATCACAGTTGATGGTATTACTAATAGCTAAGACTGGAAGTAAATAGACAGCTGAAAACTAAATATGCTTGAGTTGTAAACAATTATGAGAAGTTTCTAAGGCTATGATTTCCCCTATTGATGGAATCACTTCCGGTTATGTTTCATATAAATTAACCAACATATCTCTATCAATCATGAGCACTCTATTTACTGTAAATCTCTCCCGAGTAATCACAATAATTTACTAAACGCACTCTCCCGAGATACGCTAGCTAACTTAGTTTATCACAGCTCACGTTAAATTGCACCCAAGGCTTCGTTATCCCTAATCCTGCCTTTAAACCCGCAGTTATAGATCCCTCTTATACTTTGGGAGTGATGTTGTTCAACAACTACCTATATATGCACTCTCTCCCGAGTTATGCATACTAAATATACAAAAAACATGTAGTTGAACAAATAGAGATTAAACTGGCAATCTATATTAACATAATCAAGAAGTTCATCCTTCAATAGGTTCCATCAAAACCCTAGACAAAGGATTTAGCTACTCATAACAACGTAGGATGAAACTACTAGATTATTCATAATGCAAAAATTGCAAGAAAATAAAAGAGAAAAAAGAACTATGATGTTTTGGGTGATCTCTCACACTTGTTTTTCCTCCAAAAGTAATCTCAAAACAAGCTTAAACTATTTTGGGCGAGTTTCTATAGCTTATAAGGGTTTTACAAAAGTTTCCCCGAATTGACACTTTGGCCCCCCAATTTTCAGATACGTGAACAGTTCACCGCGGCTGCGGCGTGGACCGCGGTCGACCGCGATGAACACTGCCTCGTTTATTTTCTTCGTTTTGTCTCCGCGCTCTGCACCGCGGTCCACCGCGGTCGCGGTGGACTTTGGTCCAGTCATTTTCTTTTGCTCTTTGTGTTCGGGTACTTCTTGAGTGGGTGTTTTCTTCACATTATTGCCTCCAAATGCTTCTTGTTGCTTCCTCACATATAATATTCCCTGCGAAACCAAATCACACTATTTAAAGCATTTTGTTGGCAATTTACCTTATAAAACAACAACAAAGCATGAGCAATTAAGTTGTAAATATCAACTATATAGCCTACTATCAGTAACCAAGTGCTCCTGCTTCTGAAAATTTGAGTTAGCTATCACCAAATCAAAGGCTTTAGCGAAATCCAACAACGAAGTTCCACCTTCGTTTCTATCCCAAAATCGAAGCCTCCATGCACATCGGCATAACCCCTGGAAGTCGTCTCGATATGGCCATTGAAGTCCTCTCCTATAAAAAGCTTCTCGGTAAGCGGAATACCACGCACAAACTCGTCCATATCATCCCAGAAACGCCTTCTGACCTTCTCGTCCAATCCCGCATGAGGTGCGTAGGAACTAATAGCGTTTAAAGTGAGCCCTCCAACAACTAACCTAATAGCCAAGCCTGTTGTTGACCCTCCTACCCTATATTACTAGCTCCCTGAGCTCCTTATCCGCCAAAATACCTACACCATTCTTACCCTTCCCACTTCCTGAGTACCACAGTTTATACCCGTCTACATTCCGTGTCTTAGACCTCACCCATCTAGTCTCATGGACACACACTCTACTAATCCTCTTCTTCAGAAGGATTTTCACCAACTCTATAGACCGCCTCGTCAAAGTCCCTACGTTCCTAGACCCAACTCTCGGCCTCGATGCTCCCTTACCACCCTTGCCTCCCGCCCCACCCGAGGACACGACCTTACTCTATCATCATTCCTGTCACGCTGGGGAGCGTGACCGGTGCTCCACCGAGATAACCAGTCAAGCAAGTCTACCTGGCTCCTACTATATACCCTTGTCCATAAATGATTTAAGAAGAAATAATATGTAATAATCTACCGAGAATATAGAAATATGCAACACTGATTTCCATTACTTCAGGAACCCATTGTAGTTGACAAAATATTACAACCCAATAGTTTTAAGTGGAAGCATAACGACAACAACATTTATAATTCCCCCATACATACATGACCCACAATGTGTCTACGGAGCCTTTAAACTCTCATAAGTAAAGTAAGAAAGTGTCGATGACAGGGCCTTGGCTATACCCAAAATAATATACAAAAAGACCAAAATACAACATGAGGACCTCAGTGTAGAGTAGGGCTCACCACAACCAGCTGAAGAGAGGGTACACTACTATCGTGAATCTATGCCGCCTGTTGAGGTATCATATGCATCCATTAAGGATGCAGTATCCCCGGCAAAAATGACGTTAGTACATATGATATAGTACTAGTATGTAAAGCTAAATACCCCATATAGAATGGACTGTCAACATAAGGAGAGAACACATGGAAATAGGGAGAAAATCAATATGAAAATGACATGTTAAGGCATAAGGAAAAAGTGTAACATGAGTAAAACCTTCACATAAACATTAACATTTTAGTGGGGAGATCATTAGTTGTTGACATAGGAACATATAACCACCATATGTGCGGCATGGTGTACGACCTCGGCCCGATCGGCTAAGCCTTCTCACCACAATGTCGTGTGGATCGACATGACTTTGCTAGCAATACATTCATCCCAATTAGAGGTCATAATCTCATCATAGTGCGAAGGGGACTTGTCCCAAATTGCCTTCCTACACCGGCACGTGTAGTTTCGGGTATAGGTCTTTGCAACCTATACCTTCTCGGTTAC